TTGCTAGATATCAGCAAGCCTAAACAGTCTCATCTTGAAGCTGTGAAGAGAATTCTGAAGTATGTCAGAGGAACTGTAGATCTTGGTATTTGGTATTCAAGAAACTCAAATCAAAATCTGGTTGGTTACTGTGATGCTGATTATGCAGGAAATGTGAATGACAGAAAGAGTACAAGTGGAGGATGTTTTTTTCTTGGAAACAATCTAATTGCGTGGTTGAGTAAGAAGCAAAACTCTGTGTCAATATCCACCGCAGAATCTGAGTATATTGCCATGGGAAGTTGTTGCACTCAGTTACTTTGGATGAAGCAAATGTTAGCAGATTATGGAATCGACGCTGGAGTTCTTCAAGTCTACTGTGATAATCAGAGTGCTATAGATATCTCTAAAAAACCGGTTCAACATTCAAGAACTAAACATATTGATGTGAGACATCACTTTATTCGAGAATTGGTTGAAGAAAAGAAGGTTCAGATTGATCATGTTGGGACAAAAATTCAATTAGCTGATGTGTTCACTAAAGCATTGGATATTAATCGATTTGTCATGCTAAGAAACTCACTCGGAGTTTGTGAGTTGTGATCTGAGTCAGTCAGATATTCATGGGAAAACCGGAGCTATGTGAATTCGTGGTTAGAATCAAAATTCTCCGGTTCGGTTTAAGAAGTTTTAAAATCAGATTGGAGAGCTCGAAGATCAAGATTTCAAATATTTTTTTTTAAAAAAGGAAAAAGAAATCATAACAAGATTTTCTAAAAATCTCGGAACAAAACAAAAAGGGGGAAATCGAAAGATCCCAAAACCCTAATCGAAGAAAAAACTGAGAAAGAAGAGTTTTCTAGGCATAACAATGGTGAAAGCTACTCGTAGAGGTCCAATCGGTGGAAGAAGAACAACTGCAGAAGTTCGTTCGGATGGAGTTGCAGCCCATCCGCAACTAGTTGACGAGTCTATTGAGGAACAAACAAGATCTATTGAGGCGCCTCCTTCTCTTGTTCCTTGTGGAGATGAAGATGAATCATTTGCAACAGCTAATGAAGGAAATAAGAGCAGCGAGTCTGAAGAAATCAGGAAACCTGAAGAAGAGTCAAAGAAACCTGATGGAGAAACTGAGGTACTTTCTGAACAAATCGAAGGAGAAAAATCAGCAGAAGTCGTTCCAACAGAAACTGTGCAAGAAGAAGAAATTGATAAATCTGAGGATCTTTGTAGTGAAATCAAGGAATCAATTCAACCGTCTTCTCAAATCAATGAAGATATCATCAGATCAGATCAAATTTCTGCTGAGAAATCAAAATCAACAGAGGATACTGTAATTTTAGAAGAAGAAAATGCTGAAGAAGTAGTAAGGGACGAAGCAATTCATGTCTCTGATGTTGAGATTCAACCAACTGAAATGACTGTTGAAGAACAGTTTCAGAAAAATCAGAAGGAGAAGGAAGCTCGTAAGAAAAGAGTCTTTAAACAGCTAGGTCTAGCTCCTCCAAAGAAGAAACAGAAGAAGGCTGAACCAAGTTCAAAGAAGAGCAAATCTATCAAGGCTTCAGGCTCAGGCAAAAGTCCTTCCAAGAAAAGCCTTCGATCAAAGCTATTTTCTTCATCTCAAGCTAGAGCAAGGTATGATTTGTTTAAAAATAGAAACTTGATTGAAGAACGCTTGATTGATTTAGAAAAAGAGGATTCCTGGGGTTACTTAACCTTGATCAAGAATGCGAGATTGGAATCTACAGTAACAAATCTTGGAAGTTATGTGCGGGAAGTAGTGTCTGAATTTTATGCAAATTTTCCTTGTGAAAAGTCTGAAGAAAATGCTGAGAAGGTCAGTGTGTTAGTCAGAGGGCATGACTATGAGTTTTCACCAAAGAAAATCAATAAATTTCTTGGTTTTAAAGTTATAACCAAAGAGGAACTTAAGGCAGATAGTGATGCTGATTCTATTGGAAAAGAACAACTTGCAGAACTACTAAGTGAAGATGAGAAGACTGGTTGGGATGATTTAGTATTCACGAATTTTTCTCCTCGAATTGGAGCTCTTCTACGAATCACTGCTCAGAATTGGATTCCTTCCTCTAATCCAGATTATGTTTCAGTTGAGAGAGCTCAGCTCATCTACAAGATCTTTCATGGAATCAGAATTGATGTTGGTAAGATGATCTTTAATCAAGTGATGTCACTTGTTCAGAACAAGGATGAAAGATGGTTGGTGTTTCCCCGAATCATATATGGGATGCTCATAAGTCAAAAAGAAGTGACAATCTATTCTGGAGAAAAGTTTGTGACTCCTAAGTTCTACAAAAAGGATGTCAGAACTGGTCAAGCTTACACTGAAAGGATGAAGGGCAAAGCAAAAGCTAGCACTCAGCCAAATACTTCAAGAACTGCTCCTCAAAAATGTATATCCTTCTTCTCAGTTTAATCCAGAATATCAAGGATATACTGTTGTGGACATTGGAAGCATCCGCCTGCCTCACCCTGATGAGGATGATAGAGAGGGAATGTTTATGGCTTTGTTAGACACAACTCAGGCTATCTCCAAGATGAATAGAGTGATTCAACAACTTGTTCTCAGTCATCCTTTGTCCAAATGACTGTAGGAAGTTTGTTTTTTTTTAACCTTGAGCTCTCAAGCAGGGGGAGAAAGGAGTATGGCTGTGATTCTGGGGGAGTTCATGTGTTGTGGGGGAGTAGTTATTTGTTATTTTTGTTTGAACTCCAGACTTTGTTGTTGCTTGTTTTTCAGACTTTGTCAGATTCAGGGGGAGTTAGTCTTTGTTTGACGAAATTGCTAAAAGTTTTTAATAACTTCGGTTGTTTAAAGTCTGTGATTGCTTGTGATGAAAAATATCTACAAAAGTAAGCAGATTTCAAATACAGGTGCTTGAGAGACACAAGATTAAAAAGGGGGAGATTGAAGATGCAACTTCTGAAGGAGTACCTGAACTAAGTCAAGAAGTAACTCAAGAGAACAGAGCAACATGAACAAGATTAAGGAAATATGCAGAATCTTGTTATGGCGGTTTGAAGTGAAGACTAGAAGCTTAGAGAAGATTCTAGAAGATTGAAGAGTTTCCTTTTACAAGAAGAAAAGGAAAACATGAAGACAAAGGACAATTTCCTATTCCATAAAGAAAAAGGAAATTGTCCATTCCAATTAGTTTTAGAATTGAAAATTGACCTGTTGTATGGTCTCAACCTATTTAGTATAAATAGGAGTGCTAAAGCTTGCAGAAAGCTTAGCACAATCACGAGAGAGAATTCCTAGCTATTAAGTCTTAGTTTGAGAGAAATAGAGAACTAGAGGCTTAAAGAGAGCTAAGGGTTTTAAGGAGAGTTATTGTTCTTAATCGGTCTGTGATTAAGGAACAAGACTTAGTGAGAATAGAAAATAGTGTTAAAGGAGAAACCTTGTAAACATATTTTCTATTAATCAAAAGAGTTTTTGAGAAATTCTGAGTTGCATCGTGAACTAATTCAAAACTTAGTAGCTCTTGCATTTTCAAATTTCTTCATCGGTTTTTAACATTGTGTGAGAACTTGAGATAATAACGAGACCCACTTCAACACCTATGCCAAGTGCCAACTATCATAAACCGTAACAGAAAACTTGTTTTTTTGGTTGCTTAGAAAAAAACTATGCGTGGCAAAACAGAACATTTTCGAAAGAGAAAACAGTGACAAAAGCAATGACGTCACGATGCCCCGTGATAATAACTCCCACACGGCATCGTTTTCGCATTCACTGCCCCCAAATGTGATCGTTATCTTCCGTTGACTCATACGAGACAAAAGTCTCTCTTTGACTTCTCATACAATTGGAAAATTTCCGAGTTTTCTTCTTATGAGTTTTTGACCCAACAACCAAAATCGAAGAAATTCAATTTCAACTTCCCAATCGTGTCTCCTTCCTTGTTTCTCTTACTCTATCACCAAATCCATTTCAAAGAGAGAAAAAAAAAAAAAACAGAGCAAAAGATCAAAAACCTTACACAAATGCTGTCTTGTTCTAAAGCTTAAACACTGAAACCAGATGCCGATTCTAACTCTTCTTCTTCTTATTCTTCCTCTGGGTTTTTTTATAAACCCTTCTGTTTCAGACTCGAGAGGAGCGACGGTGGCTCAGATATGCAGCAACAGAACAACACCGCCGCAACAGAGAAGTCTCTTCGTCAAAACTTTCCTTGCCGCTATGGACGCCGTATCTCCACTTGTGGAAGCTAAAGGTTATGGCCAAGTGGTCAACAACGCAAACGGAAATCTAACCGTCTACGCTTATGGAGAGTGTATAAAAGATCTTAATAAGAAAGACTGTGACTTGTGTTTCGCTCAGATCAAAGCTAAAGTCCCTATTTGCTTACCTTTCCAAAGAGGTACTCGTGGTGGTCAAGTCTTCTCAGATGGTTGCTACATCAGGTACGATGATTACAATTTCTTTAACGAGACCTTAGGCTTGCAAGATCGGACAGTTTGTGCTCCAAAGGAGATAACCGGAGTAAACCGGACGGTATTCCGGGATAACGCTGCGGAGTTGGTGAAGAACATGAGTGTGGAGGCGGTGAGAAATGGTGGATTCTATGCTGGTTTTGTGGATAGACATAATGTGACGGTTCACGGTCTGGCTCAGTGTTGGGAGACTCTTAATCGTAGTGGTTGTGTTGAGTGTTTGAGTAAAGCTTCAGTGAGTATTGGTTCTTGTTTGGTTAATGAAGAAGGTCGAGTTCTTAGTGCTGGTTGTTATATGAGATTTTCTACTCAAAAGTTTTATAACAATTCTGGAAATTCCACATCAGATGGTAATGGTGGTAAGTAGAATAAGCTTGAAATGTGATTTAAATTCAGCTATGTGTTATAACATTTATGGTA